CTCAGGAATTATTCCTGGCGGCGGTCAGAGGCTCAAACCCAGGTTGGCCACCTGCAACACGAATGCCCTCCCCGCTCTATGTCGCTCTGGCCCACTTTCCACAGATTTTTAAAAAGGTACGTTAAATATTTCAGACTAAGTGCAAAGAAATCACTCATTTTAATCATACTGCCTCACAGTATTAACAACCCTGGTTTTCACACAAGACAAAATTTCATACTTATAACAATATGAACAGTGATGTTGGAGCGATAGCACAGCGGGTAGGGTGTTTGCCTTGCGTGCAGCCTGCCCGGTCAAACCAGGTTCGATTCCTTCGCCCCTCTCGGAGAGCCCGGCAAGCTACCGAGAGTATCTCGCCCGCATGGCAGAGCCTGGCAAGCTCCCCATGACGTATTCGATATGCCAGACACAGTAACAACAAGTCTCACGATGGAGACGTTACTGGGCCCGCTCGAGCAAATCGATGAACAATGGGAGGACAGTGACAGTGATGTTGATCTAATCCCTTCAATTTTCTCTAGTGATTAAGAAACTCTGGGAACCAGAGAGAGAGAAGAGCGGCACAGGACATGTGTCTCACACATGGCGACTTGGACTCAAACCCTGGCAAGCCCCACTGGGAGTGAGCCCTGAGCACCACTGCGTGTGGCAAAACCCACCTTCTCCCCCGGCCCCCCTGCCCCACATGGACCCAGTTCTACAGAGGGTGGATCTCAATGGCTCTGCTCTGGCCCCCACCGTGACTGCTCTCCTCACCCCTGAGATTCCAGGCCTCGGCCTGGGGCCGTTTAACGCTCCTGTCAACAGAACGCGATCATTTCTCACTGGCAGGAACTCGGGAAGCTACACGACAGACAGCTACAGCCTCTCCACCCTACAGGGACAGGCGAAGCCCTGACGGCCCGCCAAAGCAGCTTATCCACTCGGGAAACTCCTTTCCGACTTCGAATCACAGACCAAAGCAAGAGATTTTTCACTAGTCCTTCAAAATTCCGCGTCAGGGGACAAGCGAAAATCTTGCAGGGAGGGTCCTTGCTTTACGTGCGGCCAATCCCGAGCCAACCCGAGCACTCCATGTCGTCCCACACCATGCCTGTCCCGCGTGACCCAAGTGCTGAGCCAGGAGGCCCCCCAAAGCAAAACCAAAAAAAAGTCACATCATTCATTAAGTAAAGTGCTGTGCGACCACCGAAATGTGGTTGAGATGAGGATGTCTGACAGAGCTCCCGACAACACACTCGAGGATGGAAAAGCAGACCGAGGAATAACAAAGGTAAAAGGGCACTTCCAGACAGGCAAAAGAATGGAAAATAAACACCATATCACACGAGAGCGATAACACAGCAGGTAGGGCGTCTGCCTTGCACGAGGCCGACCCGGGTTCAACTCCTCCGTTCCTCTCGGAGAGCCTGGCAAGCTGCCGAGCGTATCCCCGCCCGCACGGCAGAGCCTGGCAAGCTCCCTGTGGCATATTCGATATGCCAAAAACAGTAACAAGTCTCACAATGGAGACGTTACTGGTGCCCACTCGAGCAAATCGGTGAACAGCCGGAGGACAGTACTACAGTCCACCACATGAGAGTAACCAACTTGTGTGGCAACATTCTTGAGTATTTATGCACTTCCATATTACCTGAATTTTTAAGAAGTATGTACTTTAACTCTGGGGTCTTCTCAGAGTGGGGGTGGGCAGCGGCCCCTCACCTCACCCCAGCCACCACACCGACTTCCCACAAACACCACCAGGTAAGCCCATCTCTAAGCCCTATTTCACAGGCTCAGATTCAATCTGGGGAGATCAACAAGTCACAAAAACTCAAGGACGGATCCGTCTCCCAGTGGAACACTCTGGGGGGCCCTCGGGAGGAGGCAGGGCCGAGCCCCTTCCCACGCCCAGCGAGCCTCACACCCCACAGCTGTTTCTGGCTGAGAACTTGGGGTCTTCTCAGAGGGCAGCAGGTCGCTTTTCCCCCACTCCCACACTTCTGGAAGCGCTGGAGGTCACACCCACATCCCACAACCAACTCTAAGGAAGCCCACTGGGCAGTTCAATATTCCAGAGTTTCTGGAGCGCACAGCCACACACGCAGCTGCAAAACATCGCCACATCCTGCAACGCTGACATCCTACTAGGAGCACACCAAATTCGATGGGACACGCCAACTAAGCTCAATAAATAAGAACATGAACACAGCAGCTTAGTAAAGAATAAAAGACTTCATGTCCCTGGGGTGAGGTATAGCAACTGGCACAAAATTTCTTTTACCCGAGTATTTTTTTTATAATTCCATTAGCCATTTAGTTATAACAAGCAATATAAAACAATTCTGGGCCTGCTAAGGGGATGGATGGGAAAATGGGGAAACTGGTGTCAGAATACTGAACGCATGAGTAACACAGGCACCAAGAATAACTTTGTGAACCTCAAGTGTTCAATAAAGTATTCAAATATATCTTTTTGACTGGAGGGAAAGTTATTTTCACTCCCTGGTGGGCAAAAAATAACACATATTTGCTGTCAGTCACTGCATTAAAAATCCAAAGAAAAAGACAATTTTAGGAGACATCATTAGAGCCATTTAGTGTTCAAACACTGACATCGTCTATACTTCTGAACTTGCATCTTACTCAAATGAAAAATACACTGTCCTTAAAGAATTAGGAGAGCGAGAGGCTCCGCCATGAAATTCTGCGGAAACAAGCTGCCATGCATAAGCATCAGTCTTGGATTTTCTTCGAAGCTGCGTCTTTCCATTCTCTGGAAAAGAAGTAAACACCTCAAACCTGGGCGAGAGCGGAGGCTGAAGGCCTTGCAGAAACATTCTGTGTACAACTGTCACAGCAACTCACTTGGCGGAGAGTGCTATGCGAGTTGGTCGAAATCTTTATTCCACAGAACCAAGACTTCCCAGAGGCACAGAACTTAACGACAAGGGACTGGAACGATAGCACAACGGGCAGGGCGTTTGTCTTGAATGCAGCTGACGCAGGTTCGATTCCCAGCATCCCATATGGTCCCCCAAGTACAGCCAGGAGTAATTCCCGAGTGCAATGCCAGGTGGGACCCAAAAAGCGGGGGGGGGGGGGGGGGGGGGGGAGTAACGACTGCCAGCCAGATATTATAAAGCTCATTTGAAACCACTGTAGGGGCGGAGCAATAGCACAGCGGGGAGGGCGTTTGCCTTGCACACGGCCAACCTGGGTTCGATTCCCAGCATCCCATATGGTCCCCTGAGCACCGCCAGGAGTAATTCCTGAGTGCAGAGCCAGGAGGAACCCCTGTGCATCACCAGGCGTGACCCCCCAAAAAAAGCAAAAAAAAAAAAAAGAAACTACTATATATTTTAGACATCCAAGGACAAAGGAATCATCTGTATTTTTGCATTCTGCGTAATCTGAATTTTCCTCCCCTATTAAATGAAGACTCACAGACTGTCAAGAGATTTGGGCTGGAGACTGGAGAGGTAGGACAGGTGCTGGGGTGCTTGCCTTGCTCTTGGTTGACCCGGGTTTGCTCCCTGGAACCCATCTGCTTCCACTGCCCCCAAACCTTGCCAGAAGCGATGCCTAAGCACCAATGGGTGCGGCACAAACATGCACACGCAAGACAGATCTGGGTCGGGGGGTGCAGCTTAGGGGCGGCACAGGGTTGGCTGGCATTTGCGAGGCCCTGGGTTCAATCTCTGGCATACCAAAAGCATTATAAGTGGGTATTACAACTCTGGATTAAACTTTGTTCTCCCCAGGAATTCTTCACGGTACGCTCAGTGGTAGAGCGTTTGCTTTTGTGCATATAAAGCTCTGGGTTCCACCCCAGTGCACAAACAGAAAATAAGGTAGGGGGCAGGGAGCCGGCTCTGTAACTGTGCCCCCTGCGAGCTGGAGGCCCCGAATGTGATCCCGTGCTGCCCACAGACCACAGGGCAGACCCTCCGCACAGCACCATGGGTGTCCTGTCTGGGGCACCACCCAAAGCATAAGCCCCCCACCCGCACGTGTCTGGCACAAAGGTACCCCATGCGAACACCCCACTGAGGAGTGAACCTCCAGCAAGTACGAGGCACGCTGTGCAAGCCGCAGTCGCCGCAAGAACGAGAGCAGCAAAGGGGAAGGCAAGGGCAAGAATGACGACGAACGACGAGAGATGGTCCGGGGTGAGAGCAACCACCACGAGTCCTGAGCACCCCGGGGTGTGGAGCAAAAGTCAACCCAGCCACCCACCCCGCTAAAGAGGTGGGTTTTAGCCACTGCGCCGTATTACCGGCTTAGGGTCACAGATGAATTCCTCGTGACAGTTATTACTAGCAAAGAGCCTCTTATCTAGTCAGTGACCAGCATGAACTCCCACCTCTACATGTGTGTCAGTCTTCTTCACAGCTGCTCAGAACGGAATCTCAAGCCAGACTCAGCCCGTTTCTGGAGTACCTTTCAGTATTTTGTGGGGCTCCTGCTCCTCTATTTACCCAACACGGAATTATTCTGTATGCACATTTTCTGATAGCACAGCGGTAGGGCGTTTGCCTTGCACGCGGCCAACATGGCCGACCCGAGTTCGATTCCTCCGCCCCTCTCGGAGAGCCCGGCAAGCTACCGAGAGTATCTCGCCCGCACGGCAGAGCCTGGCAAGCTCCCCGCAACGTACTCGATATGCCAAACACAGTAACAACAAAGTCTCCAATGGAGACGTTACTGGGCCCGCTCGAGCTTCAAAATCAGGTAGAAGGCGGGCAATGGCGATGTCAAGCCTGCTCAAGTCCCCGCCAGGTCCTTCTAAGGACACAAAGGCCACAGCTGATTCAAGCTCATTTTCAAAGCAGAGGCTTGAGGCAAATAAGGTTATCAAGAGTTTCAGTCGCATGCTTAGAAAATGCAGAGATTTCCCTACCATAAATACCTTCCCCGGGCTAGTGAACTATTCAGAGTCGCGTTTGAGGTCACCTACCGTGTCTTTCCGCTGTAACAGGCCACACTTAGGGTGTTACAGCGAGACTACGTACCTTATGTAAACAAGTGTCCACTACCCAATTGCACACATTCTCCAGGTCATCGGACACCGCGAGCCTCGACTGGACATATTCGCAGAGCTCCTCGTTACTCATAACATCCCAGATCCCGTCGCAAGCCAGGATGATGAACTCGTCGTCTTCCGCTCTCACGACGTCGAAGACCTCGGGCTCGGGAGAAACCAGCTGTTCTGTGGGGCCCTTCCCCTCCACACACTTGTAGTCATAGTCCCCCAGGGCGCGGGACACTGCCAGGGAGCCGTTCACGCGCTGGATCATCACGCTGCCCCCAGCGTTCTGGATGCGCTCCTTCTCCTTGGGGTTGCAGGGCTTGTGGTCCTGCGTGGAGAAGCAGACCTGCGCCTTCCTGCAGAGCACGGCCCGGGAGTCGCCGCAGTTGATGAAGTAGATGTGCTTCGGGGAGATCATCACGCCCACGGCCGTGGAGCCGCTCCTGTCCATGCCGTTCCGGAGGTCCGAGAAGTCGCGCATGTACTCGTCGATTTTCAAGAAGCCAGTCCTGATGCCCTTCTTGACGCTCTCCACGGAGGGCTCGAGGGCAAGGCCCGACTTGCCAGCTGCCCTGAAGTCTTCGTTGTTGGTGATGTGCTCCAGTAAGTGAGTCGAGCAGTAGTTCGCCACGCGGGACCCGGCATGACCATCGTACACGGCGAAGAAGGACCAGTCCTCCAAGCCCTGGGGGATGCCCACGACGGCCGTGTGCGCGTCCTCCATCTCCACTCTCCAGCCCTGCATGCTGCTAAGGCCGTAGCGCAGGCCGTTCCCAGCACCGTGCGCGTTGTGCTTCTCCGTTTTGGGTTTGTCCAAGAACGCACCCATGTTTACTAGCGACCTGGAAGGGGGAGAGACAGGGGTGAGAGACCGCGCCAAATCCGTCTCCTCTCGAGCTCACTGTTTCTCTGCAGCACGGGTCACTCCTAGTGGCTCAGGAGACCCTCTGAGCGTCAGGGATCGAACCCAGGTTCGCTGTGCGCTAGTCAAGTGCCTGGCCCATGGCACAATCGCTCCAGCCCCCTTGTTCACTTTCAGTATTTTCTACGTTTATCAAAACAAAGAGGAAACCAAATTTGCGCTTTCATTTAGAATGGTGAATTTTCCAATCCTGGTACGTTAGAACCACATACCAATTTAATCAGTCTCTCGAGAGTGGGACCCAGATTTTTAAAATTTTTTCATTTTGGGGAGGGAGCAGAGGGCTTCCCAAGTGGGACCCTCCTGGGGACCCATGGCCCAGGAGGCCAGTGGTTCAGGGCACGGGCCCAGGGGTAACCCATGCCACCAGGTAACACCCTGGGCCCCAGGCTGGAGCTCGAACTGAGCGTGATCACAGGCACACACGCCCTGGCCCTGTACCGTCTCTCTTGGGATCCTCAGCTCGGAGGACCCAGGGGCCACTCTCAGCCACACTCAGCCACAGTGCTACAAAGTCAGGCCTGTGGCTATGCTGCTGCCTGGGGCCACCACAGCCACCCTGGGGGTCCTTGGGGGTCTCCCAACCCACCCCTAGCAGCACTCAGGGCCTGCCCGTTCTCTGCGCACTCGGCCTGCTGGGGAATCTCTCTGGTACCCAGGCTTACCGGGCACAGGCTAAACCATTTAAGGGACCTGGGTAAAGGGCACCTATTTTCTTCAGTTCTGACTGCCCCCCGCAACAGCCCACAAAGACGGTGGCAGGAATAGACAGCAGGCTGGGAGGCACCCCCGAGCACTCTGCGGGCCCCCGCATGCTTGAGAACTGCACTGAGCAGGAAGCCAGAGCTCAGCGCTGACAGAAGTCTGTCGGGGCACTGCCCAGAATTCTCCTTCTGGGTAGGAGCCGAATGAATGAAGAGGCACAAATGTCACTCCCAGGACCACACAGGCACTGAGGCTTATTTCTGAGGAGAGTAAAACAGGCCTCTGGGGACTGGAGAAAACCAGAGATGAGAGTGAGAACGAGACTGAAACCAAAAAATTAAGTAAAAGTCTATATATCATTTGATATGCTAATCTTTCACTTTCCCCCAAAAGCCAACAATCAAATGTATTCCCTCTAAACCAGCCAAGGAGCCCTCTATCTCTTCAGAAACTCAGTGGCTGCAGAAGAAAAATTCAAAGGCCGGCTAAATCAATCAGCCGGTGAAAGCCCACTTTAAACTCGAAGTGGACAGTCCACGACACACTTCAGAGAAGCTCCCTCCTGGGGAAGAGGCAAAGGAGAGCAGAAGAGGGCAGTCTAGAGAGGGAGAGCGAATAAAGCAGACACGCGTGCCAAGGACAGAGAGCAGAGAAACCGTGGGAAACCAGGACGGACAGCAAAAGCAGGCTGACCCAGGCGGAGTCAGAGGCGGAGGTGCAACGGAACACGGAGACCGAAGAGAATCACACGAATCCAGACTGGGATTTTCTGCTGGTCTTGGGGCCGCGGCCAGCAGCACTCAGGGACAAGGACTTCCCGTCCACAAGAGGCCTTGGGTCACTCCTGGGGGTACCGAGAACTCAACTCGGCCTCGTACATGGAAAGCGTAAGCTCCGGCCTCTGAATCACCCCCAGCCAGAGAATGCTTTCTTCCTTTTCTTTTTCTCCTTTTTTGGGCCACACCTGGTGGTAGGCTCCAGGGACCGTATGGGGCGCCACGGATCCAGCCCAGGACGGGCACATGCAAGGCAAATGCCCCACCCAAGGCAAATGGACTATAGCTCCAGCCCCTGACAACACTATTTTGAAAAACAAAGGAAGAAAATCTCCAAACTGGAAAAATGGAAAGCTCTCACAGAGAAAAAGATTTCATACAAAAATCTAATCTGAGTGACAGAACTCTTGCCTGGAGGAAGTCTGGAGTTGATTTAATAAATTTCTTATCTATGCCAAGGAAATTAAAGGGAAAAAAGAAAGAAACAGAAGGTTAACATCTTAGGGAGAGAAACAGACCATCTTGTCTCAGGGATAGGAATTAAATCTCTTCTCTTGTAATGTGGTAGTTCCTAGACCTGAAAAATCAAGAAGTACATTACTGAGCTATTGAAGAAACATTCCAAAGGAATAAACTCGAAGAGTTCAAAACAGGCTTTTGCTCTCTCCTCGCATCTCTTTCTCTCAAAACTATCTTGCTAACCTTCACTGCTGGTGGGAATGCCGACTGGTTCAGCCCTTCTGGAAAACAGTATGGACGATTCTCAAAAAATTAGAAATTGGGCTCCCATTTGACCCAGCAATACCACTCCTGGGAATATATCCCAGAGAGGCAAAAAAGTATAGTCGAAGTGACATCTGCACTTGTTTGTTCATTGCAGCACTCTTTACAATAGCCAGAATCTGGAAAAAACCTGAGTGCCCGAGAACAGATGACTGGTTAAAGAACTTTGGTACATCTACACAATGGAGTACTATGTAACTGTTAGAAAAGATGAAGTCATGAAATTTACATACAAGTGGTACTACATGGAAAGTATCATGCTAAGCGAAATGAGTCAGAAAGAGAGGGACAGACATAGAAAGATTGCATTCATCTGCGGAAAATAAAGTAACAAAATAGGAGACTAACACCCAAGAGTGGACGAGATTAGTACCAGTTTTGCTCCATGGCTTGGAGGCCAGCCACACACTCTAGGGGAAAAGGCAGCTCAGATAGAGAAGGGAGCACCAAATAAAGGGTGTTGGGAGGATCCTCCCAGGATGGGAGATGCATGCTGAAAGTAGACTATAGACCAAACATGATTGCCACTCAATGCCTCTTTTGCAGACCACAACACCCAAAAGGAGAGAGAGAGAACAGAGGGGAATGCCCTGCCACAGAGGCAGGGTAGGATGGGGGGTGGGGGGTGGGAGGGATACTGGGATCCGTGGTGGTGGAAAATGGGCACTGGTGGAGGGATGGGTGTTTGATCGTTGTACAATTGAAACCCAAGCACAAAAATTTGTAAGTCTACAACTGTACCTCATGGTGTTTCACTAACAAAAATTTAAAAAAAAACGTAAATGATGAAGAATGGGCACTGGTGGAGGGATGGGTACTGGATCATTGTATAACTGAAACCCAAGCACAAATTTGTAAGTCTACAACTGTACCTCATGGTGTTTCACTAATAAAAATTAAAAATAAAAACTATCTTGCTAAAATAAATAACTAAAATTCAAAACAGTTGGCTGTGGAGAATCTTTTGAGTAGGTTGCAGAAGTCTGCGGGTCCATGGATGATGCCAATGTGTACAGTGGGGGGGCAGACCGATGATGCTCAGGGTGCCACGTGCAGTGCCAGGGATTCCAATCACGGTCTGGCATTTAAGACACGTGCCACACCCCCGAACTATCACTCAGGTCCCAAGCCGAGACACGTCACTAAGGGTATGCACAAACATATACGGTAAAACAAACAAAAAAAACACCCCATAAAGTAAAAGTATATGTTGTAAGAAGCAAGGAGCTGCATTTCACACCAATTAACTCCTTAATATACAAAAAGGTCCTTCGATAGGGGCTGGAGTGCTAGTACAGCACGTGGGGCATTTATTTGGCCTTGCACGTGGCCAACCAGGGTTCGGTCTCTGGCATCCCATACGGTTCCCTGGGCATCACCAGGAGTAATTCCTGAAGACAGAGCAGGTGTAACCCCTGAGCATCAAGGTGTGGCAAAAACAACAACAAAAAACCAAAAAAACTGGTCTTCCAATAAATCAGTAAGAAAATGACCCACACATGCACCGGAGATGAAATGCAAAAGGCAGAGCGTGCGAAAACAAACTGGGTTTGCTGTTTGGTTCTGGGGCCACACCTTGCAGTACTCAGGGCTGGCCCCAGTGGGCCACGGGGGGCCACACAAGGTACTGTGCTGGGGATGGAACTCAGCTCAGCCCCTGCGAGGCAACCTGTACATCTCTCCAGCCCCAACAAGAGCAAGCAACAAATAACCACGGAGACAATTACAAAAACGGAGTCAAACACCCAAAATGGATCTTAAGTCACGCCCACCCTCGCATTTGTGAGAAAAGAAAAAATTAAGTTACAAGTACCGAACAGCCCAGGTATACGGCTTCAGGCTGAGAACTCAGGTTTTCTCGGGCCGGGGGCTCCCTCACCCCCACCCCCGCCCGGTGCTTGCAGCAGCCACGCCCACACCCCACAACTGCCACCACGAAAGCTCATCCATGGGTCCAGCTTTATAGAACCAAGATTAAACTCCAGAGGAGATTAACCAAGACGCAACAATTCACGGTATCCGGGTCTCATGACTGAGGACTCCGGGGTGCCGGGACGGGGGGATTTAGTTCCTTTCCTGCTGAAGCCCCGCAGCCACCAAGCCCACGCCGACTCCTCTGCTCACGAAGCAGCTCTGCAGACACCACACTGCGAGGGTTCCAGGGACACCAGTGTTTTGGCTGAAAGCTCTGGGGTCTCTTTGCAGTGGGGCAGGCGGCCTCCTCCAGCCGCACCCCTGCATTCCAGAGCCCTGGCAGCACTCCACACCCGGCACGTGAACTCACAGCCCGGTGATACATCCTGGAGTTTCTGGAGCACGCGCCTGCAAGTGTGGCCGCGTGACACCCCCAAACTCTCCAACACCGCAACCCAGCAGCGCACAAAATTGGAGGGAAAAGGAACACTGAACCCAACTAAGCTCAATAAACAAAAACAACACAGGAGGCTCAACTAACAAAAAGAGCAAATCCTCCCACGAGGATTTAATGACCCCATGGTGAGATACAAAGATTGGCATGACTTTTCTTTTACTGTTTTATTTTTTAATCATTTCAGTAGCTATTTAGTTGTAACTGTAGCACTGTCCTCATTTGCTCCAGCCGGGCCCAGTAAAGTCTCCATTGTGAGACTTGTTGTTACTGTGTTTGGCATACCCA